ATGAAAACCTTATACAGATCACACTTATTGACATCACAGTGTTACTAAAAACACTACTATAACACAGACCGTTAGCTGTAATAACACTGAACAAACTTCCAACAACATCCTCCTTCCTCATGCATTTTGTTGCTTTTCTTCTGCATGAGTTAATTCAGACTAAGTATTAGCCTCCACAGAGGAGGGGGGAGGGGTGCGAGAGGTAAACTATATCTATGCAATCCCGTGTCCCACTGGGCCCCGGTAAGTTCCACGTAGTGGTTCTAGTTTTCTTTAGAACACAGCCTTGGGCTATTTAGAGTGTGTATATTTTTGTAGTCCTTTTTAATGTGTTTTGCAGTGTCCAATGTCATGTAACTTCATAGAAAACTGTGAGATGATATCTTGAGAGTGATATATGTAGTTAAACCTTCATTGAGAAGGCATCATGTTTTGGTCGGTCAATAACCTATTCAACCATCGCTGTCCCCATTTTTCCCCACTTACCAGCAAGTATTGGTCCCACAGTTAGAGGCAACGATTTTAGAGCGAACAAAACACCAACTCCATGAGCCATCTTGTCTCGTCCAACAATATCACCGGTCAGGACAGGAGCCAAAAGCACATAGCACCCCTCAAAGAAGCCAAATGCGGTGGCATAGCATATAAGACCAGGGTATGAGGTTAAAACAGGACACAAGGTGTTACTGATGCCAATCATTAAGAAAGAGATCTGATAAAGATACAGCCTGTTTACTCTGGGGTGATCAGCTATTCGGCCGAAGAGGAGACGTCCAAGGGTGGATGCAATGGACATGATACCTATGAGTAGTGTGGCCTTGAATGGTTCGATGCCTTCTTCAATGGCAAGGCTTACCTTAAGGAAGTCAGAGAAACAAAATTTTAATCTTTTTGCTACGATGTACATTATTAAGTCTGAGTAGAATGCTACAGTTGAACCTCCTGCAAGCAAGTCCCACCCAAATACAAAAAATCAGTTGCCGCTTAAAGGAAGTAGTCACTTATGAGAGTTAAACTGCAGGAGGTGTTTAATGAAGAGAAGTGCAGACACATCGATTGGCTGGAGAGAATGTATTGTATCCAATTTCTAAGTCACAATATAGGTGAATCCATGTTTCTTTTAATAGTTCTTATCATACTCTGAGTAGTGTAGCACTTACAGTAAATACAGAGATCAGACCATTGTATCAGGTGGTCGCTTGGAAGCGGTTATTAAAAACAATGGAAAATTCTTAAACCATTGTCCTAAAAAGGGGCTGCTGTTGCTTAAGAGAGGTGGTCATTTTGTGGAGGTTTCAACTATAATAAGGCTTTGAATAGGGAAATATTTTTTGGATGAGTGGTCACTTATGGGAGGTGGCGTGGATGCACATAGAGGTACAACTGTATTCTGTTTTAGACAAAGAAAGTTTGTAATATTTGATGATTTACAAATCGGCCCAAGAAACTTGCAGAAATTATTCTCCCATCCTGGAAATGAAAGCTTTCACAAGCTGAACTCTATTTTGGTGATAAAGTTTATCGTGATTAACAAGCTAGTTTCCCTGTTTGAGTCGGTGGATAAAATATGGTCCTACAGTACTCACTGGGGTTTAAGGTATATCAACTTACCAGATGTACAAATGGTACAAAATAACCAAGCATCCAAACTGCGAGCGCAAAACACCAAAGAATGTATGCCTTGTTTTTGAACAGTTCTTTGAAACTCTTCAGGATAGCAAACCTTGATTTTTTCTCTCCTTCCCTGGGTTCTTTCTTTACATTAAGGAATGCTGTGTTTATAGGTCTATACACAACAGCACAGAAGACAACGCAGGCTAACATGCCTGCAGAAATTCTCATTGTGTTCCTCATACCAAAGTGTTTTATTAACTTCTGTAATACAGGTCCCATGCACAGGGAACCTACTCCGCTTCCAGAGGAAGTGATCCCATTGGCTAAGGAAAGGCGCTTCGAGAAGTATTGTCCTAGGATGACGACTGATGGAAAATAGCACATGCTTGCTCCAATGCCAAATAGAAAACCATATGTCAAGTCCATAATATATATGTTGGGTGAGATGGACCCAAGAAGGCAGCCACTTGCTGCGATGATACAGCCAATCATTGTTGTCGCACGGCAGCCCAGCTTTTGGCACAAGCTTGTTGCCAAGGGTCCAAGTAAGAACATCAGGCCATACGTCAGGGATCCCACCACAGCTGGGAAGGAACAACACAGGTTAGTCACATACAAGCTGAACTTCATGACATGGCTTGACTCCAAGTAGTTTGCGAACAAAGATGTGTTTCAAGCTCTGGACAGCCAGAAATACATCTATTCGCCAATGTTCTTATGAAGGTTTTTACCTGGAGTGCCTCAGTGCCCAGCAGTAAGGGACTTGTCAGAAATTAGCAGGGGGGAGGGGGGCTGAAAACAGAGGGAGGGTCACAACTTTTTGAGACTGCAGAAAAGGGAGGGGGTCATGAAAAATGGGCTGTTAAAAGGGGGAGGGTCATGAAAATATGTGTCTGTGATCATGTAGAGGTTCACCCACAGAAGATAAAAGAAGTTCTTTATTTTGTAAAAAAACCTGGGAGAAATAGGAGAGTCGAGTGATCAGCTGTCAGAATCAGAGTCGGACTGTTAATACTGTCATCTAAAATGCATGTATATGGCATTACAAAGAACAGATTAGAAATATATTTTGAGCTTTCGTAATACTGACTCACCCTGGTGTATGGCAAGAACTAGTTTTTGTCATTTATACAAGAGGGGGAGGGTCATGATATTTTAGGCCAAGGTCAAGGGGAGGGTTAGCAAATTTCACTCCCATTGCAGGGATGGGTCACCTCATTTCGAAACCCAAATTTAAAATTCCCACCCCCTCCCCCCTTCTAATTTCTGAGAAGTCCCAGGCCTAAAGTAAGGGGAAAATGTTGTCTGTATACCAGTTATGTCAAAAACCAAACAGAGCCCACACTCCAAATGGTCAGTAGTAGGTACTCCATGTAACCCTATGAAGGTGGTATCATGCACCAATTCCCCACCAATATGGTTGACCAGCGACTATTAACACCTCAGTTTAAAACAATATGTGTATTCCCCTCTAAGCATCTTCATGGGCCATATGTTATCATTAGGACAAATATGTTTAGCTTATTTTCAATAAATATTTTACTCCAAGGGAGTAAGTTGCCATGGAGAGGTGATCATCAATTCTAAGGAGCTCTGAAATAATATTTGAGTCATCTTTGCAATGTGCAAAATCATCCTAAAATTGAAGAAATGAACTTCAAAATATTTAATTGTTAAAATAAAACATCCCTTAAGAGGTGTTAAGACCTGCATATCTGGGGTCAATTTGATAAAACTTTTCCAAGTGTAGCCAATTTTTTGGAGTCTGAAAACAAAAGCTACACTTGTAAACGTTTTATTAAATAAATGACCGCTAGGTACTATCTTGAGGGGACAATATTGTTATCACAACTTCCCATGACTAATTAAATCTTCCCATGACTACAGTCACACTTTTTCGTTGAAGTTGACCCATGAACCTTATCTAATTTTTTCCCCAAATCTGTAAGCATAGTATCACCTTTCTTGGAGATTATTTCCTCTGCTTATTTTGTATTCCTATATCATTTTACCTAAATATCCGTTTGGCACGGCCTCACTGGTGGTCTCAAAGATATCACTAACTTTTTTCTAAATGTACCAAAAGGTTTTAGCGATAAATGTTTGATAATCATATCCCGACTTAGCCCATGTGTAATGAGCTCTTTGATGATGAAGGTTGAAAAAAATTGAGAGGATTGGAATTAATACGTGTCAGTGAATTTACAGATTTCCTTTAAACGTTTCATGACATTTTTGCGTTCCTAAGATTTCGTCTACTCCCCAGTTGAGACAACTAAGCTAATGAATGGCTAGAAACCGCTGAAAAAGAAAATTTGTGGTGAATATGAATAATCGTGGCAAAGAATTATCAAGTTGGATTTGAAAGAGCCCTTGATGTTAGAAAACTTGACAGGATGTATTGGGCAGTGGCCAAAAGAAACTCCTTCGTTTTTTATGGTTTCCCTTACAGGAAGTCGTTTATAAAGAAGTAGTATACAAAACTGTTTTCAAATAACACTGAGAAACCACATAATTGATTGAGTCTAACAAAACAACCTAGGGTATGTTGACACCATGACGTTATTTAACAGTATTTAAACGCAGCATTAAACTTTAACTGGACTTGAAAAGCTGTTTTTTTACCATAAAGGAGACAAAAAACAACGCTGTGGTTTTCAAAAAGAGAATTCGAAGTTTCAAACAATATCGTGTCAAATCCATGTAAACTTTGCATGAACAGATAAGAAATACTCCTCAAACGTTATGTAAGGTAATCCTTCTCAAGTATAAGACAAGTATCTTTGATCGAAAAATTGGTATGCAGACAAATTGCACTTGTATTCTGATAAAAAATGGTCATACAGTACAATGAATTTCAATGTTGAATCCGTTCAAGCTTGAGAGCTCTAGCTTCTCGTAAACCCGGCTATTCAAATATGTTTTTGGACAAGGTAAAAATAACACGACCCGTTTGATTGATCGTTATGACTGCAACAAAACATGCTCTTTGTTGACTTAAATCTAGATCTTGAGTCACGTTTGCTGGATCCTACAGCATTCTTATCTTCATAGAAATTAAACAGCTTTTTGTTTTGCCGAATGCAATGACGGCACTAAAACGAACGCGTTCGCGTCGTCGGAATATTTTTGGTTTGTGGGCCACACATAGATGCCAACAAATCTTTGGGATGAACTGTGCATGTGTGGACCACCCGATTCTAAACATACAAGCCCTCAAGACATTTTTTTTGGCCGCATAACTCATGATAAACTGCATAATTTCACTAAATCTTGGTATTTTGAAAAGTGTTAATTACACTTTAAGGAAAAACAATCGTTTTATGAGAGAAATATCTTCGTGTTTTTCAAATGCGATTGGCGTATGCCCGCGTTGTAGAACCGCAAATAAACACGCACACTAACCGCGCGTCTTTCACGCAGAAAAATATACAGTTTGGTATTCATAGCGGCGCTTTACACCGACTAGGAGAGACGTTGAAGTATATGAATGGTTGGTTTGCTAGCTTCTGATTTTGAATCTATTTAGGGCAATGATTATGGTGCAAATATATATAACCGTGACACGCCTACAAATGATCTTCGTCGACCGAGGAAGAGTTAACACAGCAGACAGAAAATTTTTAGACCTATTTCTGACAGAATTCGTTTGTATTGCCAGCCGAATTTGTAAGCTTCTTAATACCATTGAAAAACGAACAATACGGGATGTATTAAGAGAGAATTAATGCGTCAAAAAGACAATTCCGTTCAATTTATCCTTTCTGGGTGTTTCTGGTATGTTTTCTTCTAGAACGATTTCAATCCCCGGGAAACTAGAATAATTAGATTCGATCAAAGTATTTCGTGCAATTAATGGTTTATTTCTGCACGTAAAGAGGAAATCCTCGTTTCCGATGAGAAAGCATTCTGCCCAGCTACATTGATATGTTAAACCTTGATTGTTTTTATAACTTCTGAGTCAACAAACGTAACAAATACATCCTTAATAATCTCTGGCGTGGTTTCCTTCTTTCGTGCTCAAAGTTTCTGGTGTACATCTCCAGCAGTGATTTTGCGTCATGAAAATTGCGAAAGAGACCAGCAGTACTGGTATTAGAAGACGCGTCATATTATTTACAGTCTGTGTATAAACCTGAAACTATTCCTGGTGAGATTCGCTTGCGTTTCAGCTCTTGTGCGAAAACTTGGAGCGAAAAAAAAAAAATGCTGAACTTCTTGGAGCGAGAGCACATTAACTCGATCCTCTTGTTTCTTTAAATTGTGGTGGGGAAAGTAAAGTGGGGTTGAAAAAGGTACTTCATTTACTTTTGCTGGTGATTTTTGTCCGCTGGCATCAGACCTACTAGAATGATATTATTTATAGAATTACTATCTTTTTTGATCCAACTCATGTTAATCCAGAAAAACCCTTAGTTTAATCCCCGAATGTTTAATTTTGTCTCATATTCCTTTCTTAGATGACATTGCAATGATTTAAAAAGATATACGATATTTTGCATCTTATGAGGGTACTCAAACATAGGATCATTTTCAGTTCCCATGTAAATATTCCTTGTGTGATGAGAAAGGTCTTGTCCGAAAAAGTTATATACCGGGTTATTTTTCTGGACATGTGATAAAAATTTTATGCCATGAATTTAATTGCATACAAAAATAACACGGCCAAATTTGCATGCATAGGAAACTCAACGGAGTTAAAAAAACGATAATCTTTTCCGTAGTTTCTATGTGATGTTCACGTACGTAGCCAGGGTAAAACAAGTAAGTCATAGAAAGATCATATCCTTAAAGAACGAGTTTGGGATCTTATTTGCTCAAAACAGTCACACAATACCAGTATTGTTTTTCATCTCGTAATGACATAAAAACCTTGAAATGCAAATTTACTCTGTCAAACGCACCACAATAGATATGTTTACAACAGTTTTGTGACAACTAGCCTGACAACTGAACGTTTGGGAGGTAGGAAAGCAACTTTGATAATTAAAACTGGGAATTTTTGGTCCATATTTGAACTATAAGGACAAAAACTGGGGGTGTGCTTGGAGGACTGGCTACTGGTCGATAATGGAAAACCCCTAAAAATCCTGCAGTTTAATGCTAACATTTCTATTGGCTTAAAAGCCAGAAAAACGGGTTTTTTTGTGACATTTTCCTGTCACATGTGACGTCGAGGTGAGAACTAGAAATCCCTTTGAAATCAATCGAAGAACAAAATTTTCACCGAGCTGCTTGAAGGTTGCCTGCGTTAAGAAAAATTTTGAAATAAGTTAGCATTCGTGCAATGCAGTTTTCAGCATTCTGAAGTAACGAATTAGGGCAATCAAAGATTGCCCAAAGAAGCGCAATCACTCTCACAACCAATGCACAAAGAAAAAAATAGAATTATATAATATCATCCACGCGCACAGTTCGCCTCGGAAGTTTGCTTTCCGCTTTAAACTGCGAACTACAGCAAAGCGATTATTGTTTTTGTTCCAGTAAAAAAAAAGACAAAAACAGCTGAGATCGGTTGAAAGGTAAGCAAGCCGGTATATAGAAGCTGAGGTTGGCGATTTATACTTGTCGCACGACGGGATGAAAATTGCAACACTCTCTATCTCGAAGCAGTAATCGCAGATTCAAAAACAACTCAACGTGCTCAAATCTCCGATATTTAGGAAGATGATATCAATTGATGTTCAACGAAAGAAAACAGCAGCAAATCATAATGGTTGCTTTAAGAACTCATTTGCATGTTGTTTTTGTTCTAAGCGGTATGATTAATGAAGCGAGATGAAAAAAATTTTCGTTACCTGCTTCATCTTTTCCAATGTTTTTGAACTCCTTGAGCAATTCCACGTAAATTACTCCGAAGTTGTTCATCGTGCCTAAGACGATAAACTGCGTGGTAAATGTAGCCATGCACACAAACCACCCCCAACCTCCATCGGGAAAAGGAACGATTGCTTCAGGTTTTTTATCCATCGGTTTTTTCTTACAGCACAGCATTGTGGCGATTTTTGTGTCTTTTGTTTGGGTTCGATAACGTCCACACGTTGGAGCTATTTCGTGGGGTTTTCTCTTAGCGTGTAGCGGTGACTAGGTTTGGAAAAACCTGGACTTGATGGAACTTGTAACCTTGACCCGGGTTGGAGTCGAGTGACAGAAAATTTTTGGTTGATTGAAATCTGCTAGTTGCTCAGCCGGGTTCTTTATTTAGTTATGTGACGTATGTTTTATCAAGCCGTCATTTCCTGGCGCTGATTGGCCCATTCCACATGTTTACCACAAAATTTACCCACAGTTCTGATTAAACGTGACTTCTCCTTACTGTACAAACACAAGGAAAATATAATACTTCTGGCACCGCGTGACAAAACTCTCAGGTGACTTGTAAAAATTAACATCACAAAATATGTTTTCATTTAGTTAGTTGTTGTTTCCGATCCATCTTGCCCAATAGTTTCCCAAAGGAACTCATAAGACCCTTCACCGGGACCTTCTAGAGGTTAAGAAAAAAATTAGAACGCGTTTTGGCCGCTTGATATCGTTCTTTCGTTTCCGGCACGTGGGCACATGTCAGAGCGACCTTTGGTCACGGGCGGCGTTCATGTTAGCTGATTTGAAAGAAAGGAGGTTCTTTGTGCAGCGAAAAAATACAGTTTTCTGACATGTTTGAGCGTTTTTTTTTCTCGAGAATTCAAACTTGGTATTATTACGTTTAATATTTTTTTACTTTGATCTAGAAGCACGTTTCCGGGCTTTAAGGGTGACGTTAGGTGCTGAATGATCGATTATTGATCTGCGAAGTGGGGTTAAATGACAGAGTATCCAAAGCAGAATTTATTCAGCGAAAAGCCGGCATTTTGCACGCACAAATGAAAAAGACACTTCGCATCGACTAAGTGATGTTTTTGGTTTTCACATGTTGACATACATTGAGGAAAACTTTTTCTTTCAGCAGATTATATTTTTGTTTCGCGATATTGCGCTTGTCCGGGGTTTATTCACCCACTGAGAATCTAAGGTGAGCTCATGAATTTGTTCAGTCGTGTCAAAACCCAGAGGATCGAGGATCAGTGCCTTTTTGGTGTCCGACAACTTTTTTTTGACATTTTTGTTGCTTTTGGCACGAAGCGAAGATCGAGAGCTTTTAGCTTGTTTACTTTGTATGATCTCAAGTACTTGAAATTTGCCCGGGTTTGGAGGTACGAGTATCTCTTTGAACTGAAAACAGTCGAAGGTACGGTCACCAAATTTTTGGGTCACAGAATGTTCTGTGTTCCAAAAAAAAGGCGATAGAAGGAAAGAACATGGAAGTGCCCTGCCGAGGCTTCACGGTACTGACTTTTCCTGTGACTTGCTTGATTTAACTTTTTGTGAGAAAACAAAAGAAAAATAATATGCGATCAACTATCCATGCTTGGGTAATTTTCTTTCTTTATCTGCGACAAGGCGGATTTGGTCTTGTGATCTGTGTGTGACAGTCTTTTATATTACCCCGTCATCAGCCGCCGCCCAATTTTCAACCTCTGCGCTCTAAACCATCACCTCCAGATTTAGAGAGAACCATTTCTGATTTCATACAATTTGTTACTTGAAATAGACCTGAATCGCTTACAGAATGTTATTGACCTTGACAAGCAAATTCTTTCATGCCCTCAGGTACTGTTGATCGCTGTGATCTTTTTTTTGCCGTAGTCTGTGTAGCAATAGCCTGCGAACAGCAGACGCATTTCCGGTCGTCTCTTCTCTCCCTCCGAAAAAAATGGGACGACCGAAAATGCGTCTGCTGTTCGCAGGCTAGCGTAGCAAGCGTTTCCGCGGGAGTTCGTCGCGTCCCGCTCTAACTTTCGCGCAATAACTCGATTGGAAACGCTTGCCACGCAGGCTATTTTTTCCGGCAAGTGATCCACTGTTTGATGGTTATCTTCTGAAATGAAGGATACACGCTTAGCTCGGCTAAGCCATGTAGCTATTGTAAAATTCCGACTAGCATATTGAAACAGCGATTTAAGAATGCTGAAATTTCGAAAAACGATAAAATGATGAGTTGAAACAGGAGCCGATTACTGGTTGAAATGATCAGGCAGAGATGATCCGCCCGCCCGGGGGGGGGAGTTGTTCTCCTGAGAATTCTTGGTCGGGGTGTGCCGCCGGTTCTCTAGACCAGACCAGACCTCTAAAATCCAAACCCGTTATCAGACTAGACCTGGCCTTTAGGCAGAAATCATGTCATCATTTAAGAGATTAGAGCGCAAACAAAAAATTTCGTCAAATGCATTTCGAATTCGCGTATTTCTACTTCGTTCTTATTCATATGGAATTCAGACGACTGCTTATCTCCTGAGTTGACTGGCGACAGCGCCAGAACAGTAGCTAGAGAGTACTTGCCGCGAAAAGCTCTTGGTCAGTCGAAAAGCGCGCGACAGTCTGCTCGGCCCTTACTACTGGTCAGAGCCATCGAGGGAATATACTTTACATAATAAAAACTCGTATATTCCCAAGTGTTATTCTTCTCAGACCATCGATTACATCACTGAAAGATAAAAGTCGTACGTGTTGCTTGGTTTCCCTTAGAGAACCTGAATGAACTCAGTAGTAAGACCATTAGCTACCATTTATACAGGGAGTACTCACCCGGAAAGCTTTCTGGTTTCCTACCGTCGTATGTCCTTAACCTGTGTACAGGCGCCCCCTCCCCTCACAGACGTCTCTCTCCCGATTTTTTCTGAAGGGAGGGGGGCATCTGTACTCAGGCTAGTATATTCTCTTCCTCTAGCCTGCGTAGCAGGTGTCGAAAAGGGTAGGGGTAGGGAGGAAGGGAAAAAGGCAGGGGGATTGGGGACGTTCCCTTTGCTGTCGAGTAGCATAGCAGGGGGGTAGGGAGGGGGGCTGGTCTGCGAGCAAGCTCTCTATGGCCGGACAGAGCTCCTCAGATAGCTTGCTCGCAGGCTAGAGGGGGGAAAGCCTTGGGACCGGGCTAATCACAGGTACGTACCCCTTGGTTGGAAAAATGAATTCGAGGGAAGAGGGGTTCAAGAAAGCCTTCGTGGAAGGCATGGACTATGAAAGCGCGACCCAGAGCAACTGGAAAACTAAGGAAGGAGGAGCCATCAACCTCTCCCCTTGTGGCTCCCTTGGAATCATTTGAAGATTAAAAGATATGAGGTCTATTGGTAAAGAACAACCAATCCAAGATCCTAGTGTCCCTAGTAGTGATCGACGTCCAAATCCATAGTCGTACTGCAAAACAATTGGCCTGGTTTGCAGGTTCATCATGTCTGAACTCCAGAGTTATTTTAAAAACAGATTCCTGTCAGTTCAGTCGTAGATAGCAGGTAAAACTATCATGTTTGATTGAACCATTGAACCATAACGAGAGATTTGCTCTTGGTAGCCTGTGTACAGACGCTTCCATCCCCGATTTTTTTTCTTTTTTTGAGGCGAGGGGCGTCTGTGCGAAGGCTAATTCTTGGGGATCTATTTTCTTCCTGCCAAATTATGATAATGTAAAACAGCGTTTTATTCATTGTGTCACCTATAAAGTCTAGAATAATCAGAGAAATAACATCATCTCTATTCTTTGCCAAGAGAGGATAACGCTTTATCCTCTCTTGTTTTTGCTTCATGTCATAAACAGCATGTTTCAAGATCATCGCCAGTTTATCAGGAACAATGTTTTAAACTAGTAATATCTAAATTTAAAAAGCGTATAATTAAATGTTTTCTCACAAAATAATTCTAAGCGTATTTGCTTAATATTGGCTAATGTTGGGTTTTTGCGATACATCTTTAAATCGGATACATGGTATCTCTTGATCAACGAATAATTCGGTAATACTCTAAATTGTAAAACTGCTTTCTTTACTTTGTTTTGGGTACTGAAAGAGATGCTGAAAATTTGATTCCTTTTTCTGGAATTTTTTTTCCTAGTGTATTCTGGTACATAACCCAGTCTCTCTCCTCCACAGAGACCTCTTCGTGTAGTAGGGAGGCTGGGGAGAAAGATAAGGAGAGCGCGGGGCATGATGGGAAGAGGAAAGAGAGAAGAGTGGAAGAGGGCTTTTTCCCTCTTCCCATCGTCCCCGCGCGCTTTCTATTTTTATCGATTATTGCTATTTTTACTGGCATATCCAGCGGGAGCCTTTGCGGAGGAGTAGGGTAACCCAGCCGCGACTCGGATTCGTGAAGGCAAGAGAATTAATTTAACAACTCACTGTTCGCAGGTACTGCTGCATATTAAATGAACATTTCTATTTGTTTCTAGGTTCCGGACGAGTTTCGTCTCCACATGCAGGGAACTCCGAGAAACAGTTACGTGCAGCTTTACTATCATCGCAGGAAGTTCAGAATTTAAGGACATGCTTGCTTTCCGCAAGTTGTTATACTCATAGGGCACGTTAGGAAAACAACGCACTTGGCCTTGGGGTGTGTGTTACGCCTGCTAACCTCGTAACTATAAAGAAATTATAGTAACAGACTTGTTGTCGTAGTCTAGAATTAATCCTCCAGGCAGGACTAACTCCAATCATGTGAGAGGCATTCCTGATTGATGTGCTGGCTCGCACTGATCCTTTTTCCTTTTTCCTTCTAAACAAGATTAGCTGCTCTTTACCCTTTTAACTTTCACTGGGAAATCGGCTTCCGGAAATGAACATGCGCAAGCCGGATTTGCTTTTCAAGCCACATCTTTGCGCACGTATCATACTATTACTAGCACATTTTTGGAAAAATATCACGGAACCCTGAAAGTGCAATTTAAACGCAGGAAAAAGTTACTAGACGCTTGTTAATCTGTTATAAAGCGTCCCTTTTTTCCTTTTTTATGGCGGGGTTTCATGAAAAAAAACTCGCTTGAGGTCTTAACATCAGTTTTCTTCTCAGAATATTGCATGCAATATCAGAGAAAAGGTTATGAGAATTTATAAAACGATTACCAAAAGAAAAAATGTCTTGATCTTTTACAGTCCAATTCTCTCAACTTAGTATTCTGTGTGGAAATGTATAGAGTTCAGTCTTGAGTATTTTTAAGTGAATATTGCGGCTTTTAAAAAAGGCTAACACCGAAGCGGGAACTAATACCATGTAGCACGAAATTTTTGCGGGAGTTTTTTATTTCAGTGCGGATTGGCGATTTTTTTTTGTTTTGCGGGAACTAATTTTTGCGATTAGGACAGATTGGTGTTTCTCTCTGGGAATTAATTTTGGTAAGTATTTGGCTGAAGTACATGCTCGAGAGACACGTTTTTTTTATTCCCATGAAGCACGTAAATTAATTTAGAACAGAGCAGTACAGTCTATAATGTTTAGTTCTAGTTAATTTTTGCGATTTCAGAAAGTACCCAGCAGCATTGATAATATTTAAAACAGAGCAGTTCAGTCTATAATGTTTAGTTCTGTAGTTAATTTTTGCGATTTTCAGAAAGTACCCAGCAGCATTGATGATATTTTCGTTTTTGTTAAGTACGACCCTCTCCACTACCCTCCTTCATTTTAAGGTGTGTGTGTGTGTGTATGAAGCCAATATAGAACATTACTTGAATCGTTAGATAACGAGAATTCGTCGCTAAGAAAGCGTGAACCTTCAAGTGTTACTATGATCAAATTGCCGAATACCTTTTATTTTCATCGACTGCTAAGTATTTGGCTGAAGTACATGCTCGAGAGACACGCTTTTTTAATTTTCATGAAGCACGCAAATTCATTTAGAACAGAGCAGTTCAGTCTATAATGTCTAGTTCTAGTTAAGCTAGCTCTGTTTAAATAAAGAAAACTTTTCCTGGGTAGGATGGGTAGAAGGGTTAGCTCCAGTCGCCCGCCTCCTCTAGCTACCTGGCGAGCCATATTTTCCCACACTTCCTTACAAAACGTGGCGAACGAAGCGTTTACACGAAAAACATGAGTTGGTTCGTCTGGACGGGCATTGTCTCCTAAACACTTTGGATCGGCCCGTCGATTAAACGGTTAGATAATATAGTGATTTAGCTACGGGAGAGCGCGCGGAAAGGACTGAACCCAACTTTCGGAGCTCAATTTGTCGCGGCTGTTTGCCTAACAAGAGCATGCGCGAGCGTTGATTTAGTCATTGGCTCCTCGTCCACAGAGGTTGTCTTTATTTTTAAGCCAAGTGGCTCTGGGGACGAGAATGTACATAAAAAGCTCCTCGGCTGGAAGGGTGACCCTTTTTTTTGGACAACTTTACAAATATAGCAGAGACTACTCTTACGGACAGGGGCGTAGCCAGCATTTCGACTAGTTGTAGGCCTCCGGCTGACTTTCGTTTCCACATATGCTAAAAATTGCGCGCATGAGAAGAACGCACTGACCTCACAAACACTTTGAGCTCTTAAGCTTTTTAGCTCACCCCAACAACGCATAATTTATTACATACGTCCGATTTTGTTTCATCGCTCATAAGATTACAGGCGAAATTAGACTTCATTCAGTCCTATTACACCAGATTATAGACATTAGACAGTATACACACCTATTTGCAAGATCACACAAGAGACTACAAATCATTTTACAGTTGTGGGCTTAATGTAATAACCTACAATCGGCGACAAAATTGTTGAGACATTGTACTCGAATAGGGTAACTTCGAAGAACAAAAGAATCCGCACCCCTCCCCTGTCCCCTCCATTCAAAGTTGGGGTGTTTGTTGTTTTCTATAGGTAGCTATGGGGGAGGAAAGCTATATTTCCTCCTTTTGAAGTTAGTAAAACGTAAAAAAGCCCAGTTTTGGGCGAAGTGTCTCAACTCATTTTGTCGCCGATTGTAGTCTTCACTTGTAAGATAACAGAGTGATTTAGCCACAGAAGGGGAACTGTAGTTGAAGAGACGTATTGGAAAGCGCGCGGAAAGGACTGAACGGCGCTCAATTTGTCGCGGCTGTCCGCCACTGTCTGCCTAACCAGAGCATGCGCGAGCGTTGTTTTAGTGGATTGGCTCCTCGTCCCCAGAGCTCGTCGTTTATTTTTAAGTACACTGCGAGCAGTCTCTCTTTCGCTCGAAAATCTGTAAGAACGTTAGAAATGGCAATACCTTTTAAATGACGACGTTATTACAACCGGAAAACAGTCGTGACCCTTGGCGGGTATCATATAAAGGAAGCAGTTGAAAAAAAAACTGACTAAAACATGATGTATTCCATTAAATAACAGATTACCAAAACACACTTGATTCCTTCAGATCTGTGGAAGCTTGGGGCAAACAACTCAATCAAATACGAAAATATACTTTAATATAACTCGATCAATACAGGTCTACCGGCGTTCAATTCATGAACACAAGTGCTGTGCCACAAAAGACCTAAACAATGCGTTTGCAGGCTTATGTGTAAATAAAGTACAAACAAATAAAAAGTTCAAGGTTCCACTAGTACATGTACATATTACATTACTAGTACTGCTACTGCTATTGCTACTATTGTCTAATGATACTTAAATCTTTGAGCCCTGTTACAATGATGTTTCAAACTACTTCTCATTGTAATCACCACTGAAGTAAATCGAGGTAAAAGTCATTGAGTAACTACCCGTATATCTATGCAGTATATTTATTGTAGTTTACTAAATGGAACTTCAATATTTTCTGTCGAGTGATATCATTGTTTTCACACTGGCGGCTTTTCCATGAACCATTACGAATTTGGAAAGAAAAACTTTACTGCTGCTTTTTGCATTAAGTTGTTGCAACATAATTGCTGCGCAAGGAGTCATAGTGTGCGCGGTTGGAATTAGCGAGCAACAACGCTATGCAAGTCGTAAACCAATGCCCGGAAAGTTGCTGTGGCGGTTTAGTATGTCCCATATCACTGTACCTTTATTTAAGAAACAAATTTTAGTGCATGTTTATGAATTTACCTAGTGTAACAGGTACCTCTCCCATTGCCAAATAAGAACTGCAAAACTTTTTTACAGCTTTAGCACAGATGCACTTTAACTTCATTTGTTTCCTCTCAGACAGAATCAGGCGAGCTTCTTCAGTTCGAGCGATGTCCATGGGTGTTTTGCCATCGTTGTTCACAAAATCATGATGAGCGCCTCCATCCATCAAAATCTGCAACATGTCAGTGAAATGTTGAGTGCCGTTGTGCCTGGGCATAAAAGTGACTGCCATGTGCAATAGAGTATTTCCATTTTGATCGACGGTGTTTACGTCGCACCCTGCCTCCAAAAGAAACTTCACTTCATCTGTGTGATTTTCACCCATGCCATGCGACCTTACATATTTTCGTAACAGTGAATTACCATAAGTATAACTAGTAGCATAGCCATAGAACCCATGACATTTAAGGGTTAAGCCATGAATACTCTTCACGAACTCAGACATACTCAACAACTCTTCACTATCTTTAAATTTGCTTACAATTGTAAGTAGATCTGGCAAAGACTCATACAAAAGCTTGTGATCAAGATCTTTTAACTCTGGCATGTTTAGGACGTTTGTGTAATCGTGAATTAATTGATCAAGCAATTGTAAGAAAATCATTTCTTTAGGCAGATCATTTACCCTTTCGTGTAGCATGTAAATTAAGGCAGTTAAAACATCAATTATGGCTGTCTGATTGTGGCTTTTCGCAACATTAAAGGCGCGTTTGTAAAACCCTAGGTAAGTGGCGAAATCATTGTTCTCAACATAAAAAGGAACACATTCGGTAATTGGAAGTGTCAGTTCTACATTGTCTGCTCCAAGGATTCTTTCTCTAATAATGAGGCTTTCCATGAGTTGAGCATTCATATCACCTTCAATCTCAGCGAGTTCCTCGACTGTTTGACTCTCTTTCCTGAACTGATAGGCTTCAACAGGCTCCAGCACAGGCCTTTTTGGCAACAGATTTGAAGGATCAGCGAGTCTCTCGGCCATGCCACGCCTGATGAACTCGAATCCTTTCTCAACATCTTGGTCACAATTCATCTCCTGGCGACCAACAGTATAAGTTAGAATTGAAGCCCCAAGAAGCTCCAGAGCATCGGATCTCTGCTCTTTGGTTATTTCAGGTTGCTGGATTAAATATTCTACCACATCTACACTGCGGCCATTACATGCCGTAAGAAGAGGTGTCAATCCTGAGGTGTTACTTTGATGGGAGGCACCAGCAATCAGAAGAGTATTCACAATTTGGGCGGGTGATGGTTCATCAGTTGAGGCAGCATAGTGAAGAGCTGTACCTCCATTTTCGTCTTGAGCATCCACATCAGCTCCCTGTTCAATGAGAAATTTTACTTTGTCTAAATAACCGTTCCAACTAGCAAGCATCAGTGGGGTGGCTTCTTCAAGGTTTCTTGTGTTAACATCAGCTCCATTTTGAATCAGAAAACGCAAAATGTCAAGCGCAAAGTCCGAATCCGAGGTGATAGCATATAAAAGAGCGGTAAAGCCATCAACGTCTTTTAGATGCATGTCAGCACCGCGTCTCATGAGATATCTTACTACATCCATGGTCGAGTCGTCATCACAAGCCATCATCAACGGGGTCACATCCCTCAAATTCACTGCATTGACATCAGCGCCGTTTTCGACCAAGCAGATCACGACTTCATACATGGAGCTTACAGCGGCTAAGTGAAGCGCGGTGAAACCGTAATCGTCTTTCAGGTTGACGTCAGCGCCTTGATTGAGAAGAAACCTCACTGCTCCAAGCTGTTCCTTCTCAACTGCAACCATTAAAGGTGTGGAACCAAATCCAAGTGTGGCTGCATTTATCTGACTTATATCCGCTGCTTTTTCAATTAATGATCTTAAACATCTTATGTGTCCAAATCCAGCAGCTAGCGGCAACGAAGAACAGCATCTCCGAGGAAAGCGATCACAGAAATCACCCATTTCTTGTAAAAGTCAGCGCGGATTGAGGAAACCACGTTTCCTGACTTTATTTTCATGTAAAAAAGTGACCTGTTCAAGTGGAGTTAATTTATACAATTCAAAGCATCAAAAGTACATTTGGGAATGTACATGCGAAAAGGTGTTAATGATTGGATTTGGGATGTGCTGAAGAACTATGTAAGATTGGATAAATACCGAGACCGGAGGTATTAATTCATATACATGTATATGGATTAATACCGACGTTCGAGGTATTTATCAAACTTATTTCATGATATTATTCCTGATAGATCTTTATAAAATGGAAAACATCTGTGTTAATATTATAAAAATTTGACAATATTTTCGGTCCCTGTTTTTCCATGATTCAATAATTAAGACCTTTTGTTCAAGAGAACAAAGCACTAGCCAAATGCACACTCACAACTTCATCGAATTAAAAAAAAACAATGACAGTTGCAAAATTGTGGGATTTTGACAAGGTTTTGAGAAACGTTTTGAGGGAGTTTGCTTTGTATTTTTTGGTTTCTTTGTTCAGTTGTTTTGACCATTTTATCGGCGTGTTCGATTATTCATTAGGTCGGTCCATGTTTTCACCTTATCATGGAGCTCATCGACAGCGAAGAAGAGCTTTTTCTGACAGAAAATTGTTTTTCGCAAGAAGTATTGGAACCTAATTTTAGTATGGGAAGGACACACAGATGCGCGGAAAACTTCAGCAGACCGTAGAATGATTGCTATCGTTGACGATGAAGAACTTGAAAAGACTAAAGGCATCTCGAATACCGCAAATGATACACGAATAAACACATTGTGGGCAGTCCGTGTCTGGTTTGAGTCAGCAGAGGAACGCACTTAGCACGGCGTACTTGTGTCACTTGCTCTTTAATAGGTTTGTTTTTCAGGCTGATCTCTAAATCTTAGCTCATGCCACTGAGTCAATTCCCCATACCCAGCAGTAAAATGTTGTTGTACTCTATGCTGGGACAAAGATTCCTAATTGTTATACTCTTTCCCAGGGGGAAGTTCATATGTTCAGATGTCATGTCAGTAATCGCAACAGACCCTGTTATCCCCGAAGGGGGGGGGGGGGGGCGTACCCCTACAGATCTAGCTGCTGGTGTGCCGCACCCGATTCTCCTGATCCTGATCCTATTTCGGACCAAAGCATACCGTTTTCTAGAATTGTTTTCAGACCTGGATTCCTCCAACCCTTTATCTTGTTTAAGCATTCTTAACTATGAGCAGCATTCGACACGGAACATTGTCACTACCGACATTTATTGCGTGCCGAACTCAGAGAAGGGGATTTGGATTTTTAATTCAATCATCATCGTTTCTTGTATCCGTTCATTTTAAAAACCCGCTACGTATTTTTACCATTTAATCTACAAAAAAAAGGAAGGCACGCTTCCGTAAGTAAAAATTTCATTTTTCCAGGACTGTAATTACATTTAAAGAAGTTTCAGTAAAGGCGAACGACATTTAAATCCCTCACATTGCCTGAAGAATAATCCACAGCAGGCGCCGTAATACGGCTCCTGATCACAATCAGTTAATGTTTTCTTGCGGCCATGTTAAACAGTATTTTTTACCAAATTTTAAACTTAAAACAGTAAACTGATCCTTACGACAGGAGAGAGTGATAGAAAAAATAAAGAAAGAACAAAATAAAGTGGTGAATTATATTTGCCCGATATTTCGGTTTGCAACACAAACCTTCAACGGGGGCTATAAAAGAAACATGAATACAGATAAAATATGAACGTTGCATATGCGAGATTTAAATACATAGCAGACAGAAAATGATAGGCTACTAAAAAAACAAATGTCACTAATTAAGTTCATCACGTTTATTTATACCATGAGGTTCTAAAGTCATAGCTTTGTTAATGGTTAAGGGTTAATGAGGTGAGGCTCTGGTGCCTTTCTGACAGAGTCACGGTTGCTACGGATTAGTATTTTTTATACTATTTTCTTTTTTTTTCCCTGGCGTTAAGCTCCATGCAATCCACTTTCTGGTAGCGTGCGTGGCAGGCGCAAAAAGGGGAGGGACAAAAGCACGAAAGAGGGGAAAAGGAAGGGAGCCCCTCTCTCTCCTACCCCCCTCCCTTTTTCCCATTTTCCCTATCCCCTACATACCCCTTTCGACGCCTGCTACGCAGGCTACTTTCTGGGCGCGGAAATTGTTGCTGATCGACCAGAAAAGTGCTTTAAACTATTTTTGAATTAGTATCAAAGCAGAGAAATCAAATCATTATGAAACTGTTTATGTGATAGGTTCCCTGTCGGGAAATGTTCCCTTCTCCTCGACAACCATGTCTGCGCCTAGAGCGATTACTGCGCGGTACTTTCCACGCGAGAGCACGCGAGGCTACCTTGCAAGGCGAGAAAGGCTCGCGATCAACACGCGAGGTTTGGAAAGTGTGAAATCTCTCCTCGTTGGCAAGTGAAGAAACCTTTCTCTCAAGGGTCAAACGGGTTCCTTCCTGTTGAATTGAACACTGGGAGTATTTATCCAAAGTATTTCCGGTCACATATGGCCTGCGGTTGCAGACACTCTACCGTCACCGATTAGATAGACCATACGGTGGTTTTGACGATGCGTGGACCTGTTGCACTGAGGCAGGCTAGTCAAATAGGATACAATTTTAATAGTATAAACTAGAAAGATCTTGATAGAACACTTTTTGATATCTTATCTTATAACTGTTTTAATGCGCTTTCTTCACAAACGTGTTTGCAAATCAATCGTTTTTTGATATTTTCTTGCCTGGAGGCGAGAGATTTGCCGCGGAAATGACTGTTTATTCAATTTTGTGATTAAAATAAAACAAGTACTCGGCTGGCAAGATACAGTTTTTTTTATCATCCTGCTGTGAGTGTTATAAAGTTGCCGTTTGTTTGGTCTCGGTGCCTGAGGACTGAATTCATTAAATGTTTTACAGATTCTGATCAAAGCTTTACCTGTTCAGGCTATTAACCCTAACTTATTGTACTTAACTTATTATACTTTTGCATGTCAACCTTTTTTTTTTTTTACAACACGCCGGGACAACACGTTCTGTGTCTATCGTAAAAGCACAAACGTGCCGAATTAACAGATCTTCAAGTGCTTTGTTGATTTGTCTCCGGAAGTGTTTGGTGTTCTTTGGTCAAAACGTGATCTGGCCGGCCGATCCTCAAATGATTGACCCCATGTCACTCCCAGCTGCATTAGATGCCCGATTAGATGCCGATCATACACGATAACCGCGGTCGAACGAAAAAAAAATTGCAAAAGCTAAGCAAAGTACTTCAAAGCTTAAGTGACTTCTTTCACTTTTGAAAGTTTAAGGTATTCCCAATAACTGGCTTGTTGCGTTTACGAAGTCCTTCGCTTGTCTTGTCTGTCGCGTAGTTGGTTCATTTTCCTGTATGACTTTCTTTACCATTTTCAACGCAAAGGGATTTTTTCAAGGAAAATAGCTCAAACTTTCGACAAAAATTCATAGATAGTTATGTTACGAACTGGTTTCTATATACATCTTTAGCCTGCGTGGCAGGCGTCGAAATGGGTAGGGGATAGGGAGGAAGGGAAAAATGGAGGGGCATTGGGGAGAGAGGGTAGTTCAGAAAATACAAAAACAATGGCTCTTACAGCAGGCGCACCCTTCTCTTTTTCCCGCTTTCGCGCTTTTCTCCCTTTCTTCCCCCCCCTTCCCTTTTTGCGCCTGATACATCTTTGCCCAATTATTTAACACCTACTAGTAAATATAATCCCACCAGTTAAAACAAAAATAACGCCTTATAGTAGACGTTTGACCGCGGTGAACCATACACACGCGATCAGCTTTTATTTGGCAAGGACTGAAGGGAAAGGTGGCAGCTTGCCCTCTCTTTTTTAAACAACAACAAAACTTTTATTCACACATATTCTGAACCCGGCGAAATACAGTTACCCTGCAAATTAGCAAAGAAACGCTATTCAAGGCAGGGAAAAGTAATCGTATTTAAAAAAAAATAAGGAAAATTTCTCAACATAAAAAATAACACTACAGAAGCTGATGTGTAGAGTTACAGATATTATTTTAAGGCTTAATGTTGAATGATATTGGTGGCAGACAACTCAGGAAATACATGAAATATGTAAAGATATTATAACATTTTCATTTGCTTATATGGGGGAACATCAATATAGTCATCTGTTTTCTGAAGAAACCGCTAGGAGAATTTGTTTGATTTTGGATTTAACCCTTTAAGCCCTAAAAGTGATGAGCATCAATTTTCTCCTTGTAATATCACTGCTTTATAAAACAGAGTGGTCATGAAAATTAAGGACATGATGACACTAGATGAATCTAATTGATACTTCATCAAATTCTCCCCACTACTTCTATTGAAAACGTATAGGGATAACCAATGAGAATTTGAATTTTGATATTAGGGTTTAAAGGGTTAAACTGAGATTTCCTCAACGACTTAAGAGATTTTGGAAGACCGTTCCACATCAGAGCAGCAGTTCTCGCAAATCGATCCTTGAGTTTTTCCTTGGTTTCGGAACAAAGAAAGACCGACGAAGGGCATTTTCGGATTTCACAGCGCGAGAAATGAAACGAGAGCCACCCCCTCCCTGCTCTTTCACTTGCGCAATTTTTGGCGCGGTCTTTGACTCTCGTCCCTCGTTGTTTGCTCCGAAACCAAACGGAAACGCTTGCTACGCAGGCTAGTTTTTCTTTTCCCCTGAAAAGCATGGTGTGATGCCATCAGGAGGTAATTTTATGGAAAACAAATGGACCAGTGGTTCAAGTACCATGCACCGGCTGGAATCGGCTAGACTAAGAAGTAGACTTTAAGCGCGCGTGACAAAGGGCAGCCCACTGATCTATGATGTGTCACAACACGTACACGAAACTTGGCGAATTATTTCTTTATCTTCTTTACAAAAGAAGCTTCAAATAAGTGCAGTTGGAATGATAGATGTGATCTGTAAACAGGCCCAAAATAGCAAGCAACCACAC